ACATGAAAGAATCGCAGTCAATCGCGGGGACCAACGAATTGCCGATTGCAATTGTATAAAATATATTTTTTAAATTCCCTTTATTTTATTTACGTTATTTCAGAGCTTTAAATGTAATGCCATCATATTACTGGTCAATGTTTGGGTGCCGGGAACGCATGTCATTGACTTCCCATTGATTTACATTATAAAAGAGTTTCAATTTATGCCGATTCCGTTTACGCCGGTTCGTCCAGGAACGCATCCCCGGCGTAAATCGAGGGCTACCTGTATATAAAGAAACATAATGGAATCATAGCTGATGAATCTTGCATCATTATGAAATGTACTTCAAAGTTAAGCCACTAACCATAACCTAATGGCTCAACATATACCAAATTGTACAAACTGCTGATTATCACAGCAACAAGAATCCCAGTATTGCTTTAAAAACATTTTAACAACGCACATATACACAAATTTTTAGGAAAACAATACAGTTCCAAAAATGTCATTTTTTTTAGAAATAACTGATATTAGTCTGACTTTTTATACATTTTTCTTAATCTGTGCATAGAAGACAACTCCCCCATTTGATATCTTTACATGAAACTAAAAATTTAGAAAACCTCACATTTTTTTATTTAATCAGGTATACATTGTAATCAAATCAAAGCAGAAATTCTTTACACATATCTTCAATGACAGAACAAATAAATGTAAATAATATGAAAAGGCTGCAATTTTCAAATAAGGAACAGAAGTAGAAAAGAAATAATGTTCATGCATTAGTTTCAAGTGACAATGGCCAGTGTTCTAGAATCATTTCATGCATAATTACCCTTCCTTTTTATTTCATATTTTGTGTTAAATTATTATATAGCTATTTATTAAATGGCAAGTTCCTGATTTCCATCAATGACATTACATAGATAATAACTGTATTCCCCTTGGCCTTTTATGAATGTGATAGATCATAACACCAGACTTGTTAAATCTGGGTTAAAATAGACTAAAACACCTAAGCACTGATTACTGTTTTTACATTTCCCAGCATTATGCACATGAATTCAATGCAGTCAACAGTTTTAATCATCACACAATACATAGCTACAGCTCTCTAAGCAAAACCACCAACTTTTTCTTCATTTCGCAATAAGGTGTTTTAGGTCTCAATCTGACAGCTGTTTGCAATCACTGCACTTGTAAGTTATTAATACTGACATCATGATTTTTGTGTTACACAGAGTAGGCATTCTGCAAAATGCATGCCATTTCATTTCCACTGAAGGTGGCTTGGGATCAATGTCATGCCATGATGCACATCAACAATCCCAACTTAACAGCCACAGAATAGGGTATGTACAGTGTTTCACACAACTCCATGGAGCACAGCCCCTCCTCAAAACCTGACAGTTGCTCAGGTGATCAAAATATTCCCCATCTTTTGGAACCAGAAGGTTCATTACTATGTTCACAAAATTAACCACGGAAGCTTACACTAAATCAGTTAAGTTCAGCCCACACCCTATTTTTTCTTTCCCATTTTTTCATAAGTCTCTGCAGTGGTTTCTAACTCCACAGTTTCAAACTAAAATGCTGTATGTATTTAACATCTCCCTCATGCATGCTACATGTTCCATCAATCTGAATTCTCATTGAATTGGTCAGTTTCCCACATATTGAATATGTGTATCAGTCTGTCTTCAGTATACTGCTAAAAACACCATTCTGTTCTTCCCCTTAGTTGTTATTAATCACATTCCAAACATCAGAGTGCACATAACCTATGGGACTGATGTTTACAAGTGATAGTACATACTCCCAAACTACCTACAGCTACATTACTGGAATGCCATTGCTTGTACTTACACAGCATTACATGAAAAAATATATTCCAAAAATTACAAATAAAGCCATGCCTGGAAGTGATTTTCATACAAACTACAATCAAACGTGTAAAGAAAGAATTTGACATTTTAAAATTGAAAAAAAAAAACCCCGTAGTTTCACATTTGTAAACTAATGACATACAACAACAATTCTAATGTGTAATCCTGTCTGTCTTGAAGCAAAGTACCAGCAAGACAGCTGCAACATTATGCCACTATAATCATTAAAATAACACATTATGTCTGATGTTAGTGCCATGTAACAATTCCTATTGGAAATTTTGCCTAATTTTTCCACTGTATAATAATACTTACATGGGTAATAATAATTACTTTTGTACTTAAAATGCTAGTAGAAGCTGTCTCAGGTTTCTTATGTTTGCAAAATACATGTCTTAATTCTACATTACATTTTAAAAAAAACTGTATTTGAGCTGTTCATTTGCAAGTGTTCTGTTAATTTATATCTTTAAGTAACTCCATAAATCAGAGAAAATACAACAATAAAAAACTGCAGATATGTATCTATGAGTGCACTTAATGAACCTCACTCAAGAAAAATGTTAACGAAGTAAAACATGTAAATGGAACAGCATCCATTATAACTAAGAAGCACTAATAGAATAAAATTAAAACAGGGCTGAAATATGGCATTAACGACTGAAACAAGTAAAAACAAAACAAAGCAAAATTACAAACCTTAAAGAACAGATCAATGGGCAAGAAAGTACTGGCTAATTAATAACCCTTCACAGTTCGGTTCCATAACAAAGAGGTGGGCTCTTTTAACAGATGTTTAGCATGTTAATTCAAGAACTAACACTAACTTCAATCTGGCTTACGATATTTAATTCATGACAAATCATTCAGACTAGCATGTTGCTACCACAACCATAATTTTTTCTTATAGCAACTACAGACAAAGGGTCTCAAAGTTAGAACTGCACTCAAAACTAACATTATTCTTAATTATGACAATACTTCCTATGCAGACTTTTATTCTTAACTAAAGCAGAGCGCTCCTTTCAGAGCGCCTCGGGGCGGTTGGTCAAGTTTGCAAAACGCAACCAACCTTGTGGAAGAAACCAAACTAACCCCCCCGAATGGAGGGTTAAAACACTTGACCAATTATTACAATACTTCCTATGCAGAGAGTGTTTCAAAGCATGGTCCCTCTCTGTGTGGGAGTAAAGCAAGTCACCAACAATGAAACAGGCCCCATTGCACTCCTCTTGGTATTTACTGCAGAACAAAATACAACATCATGCTTCCAGTTAACAGTTTTCAATTCCACACTCATCCCAGGGATGCTATCAAACTGAGAATCACCCAACAGTGAAGCTACAAATTGCTGGCAAGTAACAACACATGATGGCTTTATCATGCTTCAACTATACCATACAAATTCACTTGGTTATTCTTCATGCAAGTTGGATGCTCTCTACTGTTTTATATAATTATAAGTACTCATACCTCCACACACCCCCCCCCCAAGCGCCTACATGGTGTATAGTGGGACAGCTTTACTTTACTTCACTTACATACTCAGTTTAAAAAATCAGCATCAACAAAATGTTTCTCATTCTAAATTTGACTTCATCATAATAACAAAGAAATATCACTACAATGAAAAATGAAAGTGATCCAGATACAAGTCAATAACTATAAAACAAAGAGAACCATCCAACAATAGATCAATACAATTAACCAATGCTATTATTCACAAAGACAGACAGTGTTCAGACTTCTGGTTTTGTGTAGGATCAGTCTGCAATGAAGAATGTGAAGTTAGGGAACAGTTCTCAGGTTGTGTTTGTGAGATAACACAAACAAGCAATAGTAACACACACTGATGCCACAATTTGACAGATGTTCAGAAAGTCACCCTCTCCTTTCATTATTAAATACTAATTTTGAGAATAAAAATGTGGTTATCTACTTGAATTCAAAATTAGGGGTCAGTTAAATGCAGAAAAAGGTAACAGGGTGTGTATCAGTATATAAATGGACTGCAAGACACCTGAAATATATCCATTATGTTCTGAAAGTGGTCTTCTTACATCTGCATACTGCTCTTTCACGCAAATTTTATAACTCCACATAATAACAATGGTTATATTGGGAGGAAAATTATAATTTTAAACACCAAAGAGAGATGCCACCTTTTATATGAAAGTGTAATTACATAAATCTTGCAAAAATCAGACATAATTGTCGGTGGGTTTACAGATGCTACAACAACTGGTACGAATATGAGTATCCATACATGTATAAAAAGAAACTATAATTCGCAAAAAGCTGAAGTTGTACACTGAATTCCAGCCATGAAAACCTAAGGACAAGGACCTTGTTTCAAATTCACAATCATCCGGCCATGTAAACCTACAACTCACACAGTGAAAAAACATTTCTAAATAAACTGAGAGAGGCATACAAAGATCCTAACACTTCTTCAAGGCATCTAACATTCCTCATTCCCTACAAACTTCAATTAAACAATGAACTGAAATACCTGGGTGGTTCTCATCCTCTAACAAAAATATATACTGACAAAGCATCTATGTTTATATCCAGGCTGATCTACAGATCAAACTGGATATAAACCACTGTAGTTGAATGCTGACATTTTGTGTAATACGTCTCAGAAACGTAAAGTCCAATATTAATGATGCTAAGAGAATACTTTCAAAGGGGCAGATATCTGTTATATCCTGTTGGAATAAACCCAAGACTCCACTAATTAATTTCACTTCAGATTTCCTATTCCATTTTTCTTTTCCCCATAATAATGAACAGAAATACAAAGAGATTTCTCCTGTTGTTCGTAGTATGAATCACAGTGCAATTAACTGCAAAACATTAATAAATTGTGTAACAGATTTGTACAGCAGTTCATTACAGATTATGAGCACACTGTGTTTATAATTCTTTCCATTAAATACTATTACAACATTCCCTCTTCAAATAAGTTTCCTTCCTGAACAACTGTTGATAACATCTGGGCATCAGGCTAAGTGACAAGAGGCAGTGCAACAGGGCAACATGAAGCTAGAAACAAGCCAACACAAGCTTGAACAAGACATAAAACAAGCAAATGAGATAATATGGTTACTCGGATGCATCAGCTACCTCCTCATCCTCATCCAAGTCCACTAGGTTCCCTGTAGATCCTGCCTTGTGCTGTCTCTTCGGATCAAAAGGGTCAACCACAATCTGCTCAGTGCCTTTAATTTCTGCTCTGCAAAATGGGCAACCCTGTCCTTCAGAGTCCTGTTGAGTTAAAATTACTCAATTATAATGCAATCAAATTATATGTTAAACTTAAACTGAGACACTGTCCAGTGCTCCATCAGTTAAAAGGGTAAAACTGTACCACAAATTTTTAATTTTCTGTGTAGAGATCTTCTTCTCATTTTTACAAGCAAAAATGTGGGATGAACAAATCAGTTAACATTCAACTACGCAACTCCTAGCATTCTGCTTTAAAAAACCCTTTCTTAATATATTTTCTTGCACAACTAGCTTACCATGTACCTCCCTTTCAAACATTTAAGGACCAATTCAACACATTCTTGTATGATATATTAGTATATAGCCAATATCACAACACAATAACAAATTTTTTTTATTAAATGCATATATAAATTTGGTGAATACTATTAATGTTATGTACTTTTAAGTTTGGTCACCATAATCTACAAATAATCATCTCTTTTACAATAGAATGGGAACACTGCACCAATATTAGTCATATGAATGATCTATGCACTGCAAAACTTTTGGATATTGAAGTTCATTAAAGTTGCTAACATTTTATCCTCGAAACCAAGACAAGTAATTAAATGGCACGGCTGGTTGTCTGGAATGCACTTACATTTGCAGCCAGTTCAGTTTGTGTTTCAAAGATGATGTGCATCAAAGCAGAATTCTGTAGCTCAGAAGTTTATATCTGCCCTCAATGAATTAGGCTGATGTCTGTTCAAACATCACAACCATCTTCCTACACGTGTTACTGTTCAAGTTTGTGTTTATGTATCGACAATTACAAACACAGCAATGGTGTTAAATTTTAAAATAAACAGAAAATCTGGAAGAAAAAAATCCTCCCCAAACATAATAACAACCCTTATGACAGTAATAACAATCTGTAACATTTTTACAAGAAATTATGAAGAAAATGTGAACTGAGACGAATTCCATAATATGACCATCTGCACGTGAGCCCACAATGCTAACTTATGATCACTATTGCATTTCATTGCTATGTATGAATTTATATTAACTAAATATAACATTAACAACATAAGATCTATGTGACTACAAATCTATGCTATAGGAAACTATGCTTTATGAGTTCTATCTGGAACTCCTTATGTTATCTACTATGTTAAGATCAGTTAACCTCTTTTTCTATCACCATGCAGTCTACAACTTATTGAATTTACATCCCTCGACATTTCATGTGTTATTTTCACAGCTAGAATATTACTATTGATTATTTAAATCAAGTTTTACTTCCATATAAAAGTGTGTACAACAAACTGTGGATTGATGGTCTGTTCAAAATCCAACGGCACTCCTACCTGCCAAGATGTGAGGCACGGCGTACACAGCAGATGACCACATGGCTCGATACGAATGTCCTTGTCATTCTCCGCACAGATTTTACATAGCTGGAATGTGGAACCCATTTCACAGTATAATTCATACTGTTCCTGCGTCACCTTGATATGATCCTCTGGAGTTGGCTGCACTGCCCACGAGAGATCAGGATTCACATTGCGCCCATCAGGGAACAGATAGCTGCAAATATTATGAATATTAATAACAACGTGAAAAGAACATTCTACCTGAACAGAATATATCAACTGTGTGTCACTGGTTACATATGTCCAGCTTGCCATGTATCTTGCAACTAAACTGTTACATCCCATGGTAAAGGTCTGGTTATCAGTCCCTTAGTTTGGGCATCGAAATCCTGTATCAGCATAATAAACAACAAAAAATAAACAGAATGCAAAACCATTTCATGTCTTAACCTTTATGTTCAAGTTCATCTACAATTTTCTTATTTATCAATTTTTTAACTTGTGTGTCATTTATAGTGATAGCTTCTCGTAATGAGTAAAAGAACTGGCACAAACAACCATACCAATCATGTGGCTTGAACCAATAGCTGCCAGTACAGCATGCACATTATACAACGATTTAACTACATGGAGCAGTGCACTTTTTGATAGGCTGACAGTCGCTCAGCTTGTCAGTAAATTCCTGACCTAACATAGAACCTTCAGGTCAATGCCACTGAATACAAAGTTGAGTTGGATACATTTAATCTATATCCTTACATCCTACTTTTTAAGATCCATTTGATATCAGCATCCCACCTATCCTTATATATCCCTTCCTGACTAAAATTGTATACTCATTTCTCATCTCACCCATGCATGCTACATGCACTACCTGTTGTTTTATTAACAAAATCTGTAACTGATTAAATAATCTAGTAAAATGTATTGAAACTGATTTGAAACAAAGTAATATGCAAAAGTAGTGTAAAAAAGGAGCAGTAGCGGTAGTAGGTGGTGGTGGTGGTAGCAAAACTAGTAGTAATAGCAGCAGTTATATAAAAAAAGTAAAAGTAAAGCTGTCCCACTATATGCCATGTAGGCACTTGAGGTGGGGGGTGGGGGTGGGGAGGTATAGCTACTACTCATTCTTCACCTCAGCACTAGATAGGTGTGAATGGTTAGCGTCACACCCTGGCCGCGCTTTACACCTCCAGAAAGGATTCTGGTACCCATTGGATAGGAGACTGGGTGGGCCCAAGAGTCGGTCTGGACGCAGAGGCTAGAGGAAAAATCCTGTCCCCATCAGGGATCAAACCCTGGTCATCCAGTCTGTAGCCAGTCACTATACTGACAGAGCCACCCCAGCTCACAGTAGCTGTTGTAGGAATAGCAGTACAAGAAGAGGATTTAGTCTTTTTAACATTACCCTTACTCAGACAGAAGGGCTGAGGTCCAAACAGACCAAGATTAACTACATCTTAACCAAGTAGCAAACTCTGCATAACAGAATGGATCATCCTAATGTCTGCTCTGCTATGCTACTCCTTATGAATTCATTATACTTACAATCCTTCCCTGTACCCATCAAGTAAAGCTTGGCATAAGGATTTATTTTGTGGGATTGTCTGCAAGATTTCTCCATCAGCTGTGACATAGCCAATAGCCCACTGGCCGAGCCTCGTACAACTAAGTCGGAAGACGTAGCTATAACAGAGAGTACCGTACTCTTTACAGAGCCATATACACTATTTTTTTTTAATTATGAAACAACCAATTCAGTCTTATCACTTCTATATACTTTTAAAACTTTACTTATGGTTTACAACATTACAATACAGAAATGTGTAAGTTGTAATAATAATCATATAAGTGATTAAACACGGAGTTCCACTCAGAATATGTAATGAATAATTTTCACATTGCACAGACTTCCAGTCCTACAACTCATGCATTGTCAGCATTATATTTGCAAAATGAAAGTGTATAATACAATAACAAAATACTTGTTTTAGAATTAAAATTTTGTATGGATTATTTTTATGTAACACTGTCACTCTCTGCACTTACCTTCCAGGTTTTGTAATGTATTTCTGTAAGCGTGCTTTTACTTCATCATAGGTGAGGAATGCCACATAACCTGGATGTGTTACTGCTAGAATTTGCCAATTTCTCAACAGAGTCGTCCATGGCTGGAACAGTCTAAAAGCACAGAATAATCAATTCAGAGGTCATACTGCCTCCATCATCAGGGCGATGAGTATGAAGATTTCTGTCTTCTGGGTGTTTGCGCTGTGTAGTCTGGTCGATGCTAACCAACGTTTCAGAGGTCATACTGCCTTCGTCATCAGGGCGATGAATACCTCTGAAACGTTGGTTAGCATCGACCAGACTACATGGCACAACAACCCAGAAGACAGAAATCTTCAATATATATTTTCCTGTACATGATAAAAATGTGTAAACTGAGTCAACACAAACAAAACAATCCATAAAGAAACCAACATTCCACATCACTTATTTTGTTTACACATCTGGTTCTGCTCAACAATTACATTACATGTTACAGAAATAAAATTTAATGAAGAGCACAATGATGAATGGCAAATAAAATATACTATTAACTGTGTCACCAGACATGACAAGTTTACTTATCTTTTAACAACACATTACTTGACTGCCGGATAGCCTATTTACTTTCAAACAACTCGTATACAATCTAATAATGTAAGGAATTTAATATGGAATCAAATATGTCCAGATTTCCTAAAATGTAATTCTTTTCTTATTTTTTAGTTTCAAGAAGCTTTCGGATACTTATTGTTAAGTGGGGGGTCCGCAGTGGCCGCGCGGTCTGAGGTGTGGGCCTTGTGCTGCTTGGTCACTGAGACTGTGGGTTTGAATCCCACTCAAGCCATGGATGTTTTTCTGTGTTGTGCTGTCCTGTAAATAGGTAGAGGCCTTGCAACGGTCCGATCCCTCGTCCAAGGAGTCCTACCGAATGTCCATAGATCGAGCCAACAAAAAGTTGGGAGCCGCAGTGCTCAGGCACTTGAAGAACAGGTCGTTCCCAGGATCCCAGTACCCCAGTATTGTTAAGTGGAAATGAGTCAACATAAATTTTATTCTTGTATGTATAACAGTATTTATGAAGGTACTTTGGCACTTTCACAACATATGAAAATCATCTATTTTTACAAATGGGTGATAACATAGTTACAAATTATGTCTGTCTGTATGACACACTGTTAGAATATTAAGATGCTATTCAAACTTCCACAAGTGTCTGCTATTCTGTTTACATTCACTCAAACTGTATGAATTTTATAACAACATAAACATTCATAATTCAGTTCCAGATGTAAGAGAAATGTTGCAGTTCATGTACCATCTAAAACCTGTATGACACAGACCAGATGTGCTAATGTGGGTTACAACTAAACATAATTAACTGAAACTTCCTTGTAATTTATTAAAAATTATAACTTAATACAGCAAAAAGGTTCATGTATTAACCAATAATTTTTTGATGAAACTTGAATTATGTTTATTAACTATTCAATTAAATTTAAAATGTTATTAAACTCTGGCAGCAACTATTCTTTAATCATAGCAGATAATAAATACTACAAAAATTTATGTAGACCACAAAAACCATGTTCGAAGGCAGCAGGCTGAGAATTCCTGCCTTAAATGATCAGAATTATTGGACCATATTTCCGAAAAGCTAACAGATACTCGGCCAACAAACCGTAGAACGCAGAAGGTAGATAATTAATAATGACATTTACACACATTCTCTAGGCATCTATGGTATTACAGACTTTTGAAAAATTAAACAAATCTTACCTTGTAAAAACATCAAATTCAAAGTTGGAAATGTAATCATTACATGTGAGGTCAATGGTGGATTTAAGGGCCATTGCCTCCAGCCCAGAGCTGATTGGATGAACTTCATTTAATACCTGTCTGAAGATCTTCCATGGTACAAGAGTACTGAAACAAACCACAGTTTACTTCAGTTAAATATTTTATTCAGACACATTAATTTTATTTGTGCTACTCATAAGGACATTATGGAAAGGAAATACACGTTCAGGCATCACAGTTTACACAGTTAACAGGTATCTGAAGCATACTACGTTATCACTGAGTGGGTTAGCTTACAGCACTGGTCCCCAACCTTTTTGTGCCTACGGGCACATTTGAGAGTTTATGAGATCCTGGTGGGGACCAACCAATTAACAAAGCCAAAATTTCTTTTCTCTGGACAAATAAGATATGGACACCAAATAATACACAAAACAACACGACGTTTAATGATACAAGAAACCATGCAATCAAAAATACGTAGTTTTGTAAGTACAATTATTATTACTCAAGCGGGAAGTTAGTGTGATGTTTGGCGCTGCATTTCATCGGCCAGTTTTTCAAATTTGGGAGTGTAGGATGATGTTGCTGCTCGCAAACAATCGTCAAGATGGGCATTAGTAAGTAGAGATCTGCGCTTTGATTTTATAATGTTCATGGTTGAATGGCCTTCATTATTCAGTATAACCTCTTTTCGTATCAACACGGGCACCCAAAAAAAGCCTTGGAGGGCGCCTGCGGGCACCGCGTTGGGGACCACTGGCTTACAGAATAGCAATGCAGCTGACTTGTTTTTAGACCCACTCTTGTCTGATCTTCCCAAATCCCTTTTAATTCATCATTCACCCTCAGACCTACATTTCATTTTATGACATTTTCATTCAGCTTCTTAAAAATCAAAGATAAGATGCGTGCTCCACAGCCCACAAATTTTCAAACACATCCAAATCGATCATGTTCGAGCCTCACATGGCGGTTGAGTATAATAAAGATGACTGTCTTCTGGGATGTTGCACTATGTAGACTGGTAGAAGTTGGTGCTTACTGCCCCCATCAGCAGTGCAGCAGACTTCTACCACGCTACACAGCGCAACATCCCAAAAGATAGTCATATTAATATCCAGCTGCGACAAAAAGTATAGCATTGGCTTTCAGGTGTAAGCTGTGTCAAATGTTGAGTATTAGCCAATGTTTCTGCAAACACTGCAGTTGCCATCTTCAGGATGAACGTGCAGTGCAGCAGGTTCTGGAACCATTATATAGGACAGGCAAGGTAAATTTGGTGGTGCTGATTGGTGGAGTGATGAGCATGTTGCCATTCAATGGGAGAAGAGCATGTGGTTGAGGAAAAGATTGCAGAAAAACATTTTTATGAACACGTGGTGAGGAGAGGAGATTACGAAAGTTTTGGTGACCGTATTAATCGGGAAATGATTTCCAGTAATTGTATAAAAAGGAGAATAAGTGATTCTTTGACTACGAGATTCAGAGAAGAGGTGATGAAAGAACAATCCTTTTGAGGGTCCAGTGAAGGAGACTTATCTATATAAGGCTTCCGGAGCTAGCCCAACTACACAATTACACTGAGAATTACAATTGCAGTGTTTGACAAAACGGAAATAACATTCGACGCGGCTCACACCCGAAAGCCGGTTATACACTGAAATCCAGCAGCATAAGCCTATTGACATCAATTACAAAAAAGTGATCTGATTGAATATTGAATCAATTAGACACATTTTACACAAATATTGTGTATAAACTGGTAAATATTTGCTGCGAGACACTTGGTACACCCAGGGTAAATCAAATTCATTTTCAAAAGGATAATTAATGACAGAAGGAAATGGAAAGAATGTATTTTTGTTTCGCGAATAGGACAGTATATATTTTTTAAAAAAAACCCTTAGCACGCTCCGGAGTAAGAAGAGGCGTTGCTATGTCACTGAAACAAACGGGGCCAGCTGCCACACGCTTGTAATGCGGAAGTATTATTCGGTCACGTTCTACGATTGCTATCGATCTCTCCCACAGACCATCACGTGCTTCCGACACCATACGGCTTCTGCGCGAACTCGAGTCCCATTGAGAAACTCAATCAACCCACGCGATGACGTTAAGTGACAGCTACTTTAACTCCATTTTTCTGGCATACCCACGCAAGATGTTACCCCAACTGTCCCCGCTTCTACAGCTCATTCGGTTACATTTTACAGCGCCACCTGGTTCAACTTTCAGACGGCTAAAATACAACAAAAAGACCGTACACGTCACACATTTCCTGTTTGCTTAGGTGAAAGATCTGGGGGAACCCGGCGAATAAACAGTAGCCGTACGCCACTTTTTAAGAAGTGTCAGCCAAACCCCAAGTGGGTGGGGGGCGTGTAAATTTGGGCACTTGAATAACACATCTTCACCTGCCACGGTGCACATATGAAGCCACAACACGGCGCACGTCTACAATAGTTTTTAGCAACTTTAATACACCTAAAAATGTGATACGTCAAACGACAGCACGCAATGTTACAGGATGGCGCACGAAATTATGCCCTATTTGTTTTAACGATAAATCAGCAACCAGGTTACGGATGAAGTTTTCTGTCATGTGGGTAAGTGCAGTAGTTCATGGAGATGTCATTAGGTGGCATATTCATCACCTAGCTAACGCGAGGTGATTATGTCGCGGTTTCCCGCCAGTATACAGAAGATGGCAGACAAGGGAAGACTTACGGTTGAGCAGAGAACGCAGACAGTTTTGTTTTTTGCGGAAACAAAAAGTGTTGTGGAAACGCAGAGACGGTTTCATGCCAATTTTGGTACGCGGTGGGCCCCTGCTCCAAAAACTATTCAGACTTCATCCGCAGTTTCAACAGGATGGTACAGTGTTGGAAAAGAAACGTGGACGTGTCGCAAGTGTGCGTAGCCCACAGAACAGAATAGCCATGCAAAGAAGCCCGGTTTGCCGTTAAATACACAGTGGTTTATGCAAGATTGGGCTACACCACACACAGCAAACGTCTTGGACTTCCTGCACGACACTTTCGGTCCACGTGTGATTTCCCACCGATATCCTGCTCGCCACGGATGTGGACAGAACTGGCCACCCAATAGCCGGGACATAAACCCTGCGACTTTTTCCTTTGGGGTTACCTTAACGAAAAACTGTTTCCAAAAAAAACAGCCTCAATCATGCAACTCAGGGCTCTGATTGTTCAAATGTATGGTGAAATTACGGAGGATATGTGCCGTCGAGTAATCACGAACGTAGCCGTTCGTGTTTCGGAAGTGGTCATATTAAGCATGTAATCCATAAAGGATAAATCTCCATGAATTGTTCTTTGTGTTCATAGATATATATATATATATACCATTATATGAATATTAAAGCCTTTATTTAAACTTTCAGTCGGGTATCATTTCGTGCGCCACCTGTAGTATCCCAAGATCAGCTAACACGAGAGCTTGGAATGTCATGCAGTCCCTCCACCAAATCTAGCCAATATAGCGTATGTATGAAGAAACAGACGACGATCGCAAGCCGCAACTACCTGGCTGGCTGGAGTTGGTTAATCAAACATTTAATCTGATCGGTTCTGGTGTTTTGTTGCGTGGAGTACCAATGAGCCACGAAAGTACAGCCTTTTATTTTTCGTTTTTAAAAAGTGTCAACCAGACTAACACGGTAAACAAATACTACATGCTCAATCCATCTCGTCCTACAACACAGAAAATCCGATATTGGGGTTCTTCCTCGGAGTAGATACGTGATGGTTAAATTAACTGCAACCCTGTTCGCATAAACCAAAGCCTGGCTGGTCTCTGATGTCGAAAACATGCCATTATGACATGAGAGTTGAAAGGTACCTAATCTAGTCAAGACAAGCGCCTATTCGAACAGAACAGGAATGACTTGACGTGACCTGACCTACACCAAAATGACGTAAATGGAACTAGATTCACTCTCGCCATCCTTCTTGTTTTCAGAGGTGTGTCAGGGGGGGGGGGGGTACCAGTAGGGGTGGGACAAACAACAGAAACATGAAATAATTTTGCAGGTAACATATTCATAACATTGTCGTAGATTTCGTTCTTCTGACATGTGCCATTTTGTGTTTTTTACTGGAGATTAATAATGAATTTATGCTTACGTTATACAGCCACTCCACCCAACAAACTGCTGAGTACACACAAAATTGTCTACATCAGATTGTACTAACACGCATTCGAATTGTTCCTAATAATCCAGACTTTCGGCGTTACATAATCCACGCAGTTCTAAATAAAACAACGCCATCAATATGGGATTACTTTCGTGACCTGTGAAGTCTTATTAAATAACATGCTTATATCAACAGCACAAACGGCCGACATATAACATTCATTAAAGAAAAGTGTCGTGTCATGAAAATAACAATCAGGTGTTGGGGTCCAGAAAAGCAATTTTTTCAGACTCTTCTTCCAGCCCGATGATTTACCAAAGTCCTCCCCACCACCGACAGGTCACAGGCAAGCAAAGTAAATCAATCACGGTCAGAACCATGCCCGATATACCGGTCCGTTCTGTCATAAGACGACAGTATAAAAATGACAACTCGCGAACACGGGGAACACGGGAGTTCTGCCATCTTGAAATATGTAAGAACCATCACCTGACATGCTACTCTAGTGCTTCTTAACTCTGGGCGGGTTTGATATGCGTACTAGAGATTCAGGAAAAAATACGAAGTGTATGGTAACCTCAACCTTTAACCCTGATAAAGGAACTAAAATGGCACGAGAACCGTGCATTAATTTTCCAGCGCATTAAAAACTAAGCGACTTTAGAAATCCCTTATCTAACACCATAAAGTAGAGTCCTTCTTGAAGCCGCTAGCCACTCAACTGGCCAAGAAATTCGACTTGTAAGGAACCCAGATGCTCTTTGCCAAGTACGTAAGAAGGTGCAACCGGGCCCTATCCTGAGCGAGTTTAATCCAGTCTAATCACTCGCATCTTATTAACTGAATATCTGATTCCGCCTATTCTAATATACACGTCCTCATATCCTCCTCGCCATGTTTTTCAAACTAATATGTTGCGCACATTCCACGTCTAACCCATGCATGCTACAGACTCCGCCTATCTAT